CCTCAATTAACGGCTTAGGTGATGTTGATTCTGGTGCATGAGGGGAGCCCTTTGCTCTCTATGGGCAGTGAGGCCTCAGCTGTTTGAGTATAGCCTGGAGGAGGGGACCTCTAGGCTACTTAAATGGATTTAATACAATCGTTAGGAATAATTTTCTTTTTCATCCACGCTTTTTCTTTTTCTTATCTCATTTCATTCGTATATCATACGATTTGAACTTAATATTTTTTATTTTTAACGAAATAAGATCATTACTAAATTATTTAAATTATTGATAATTTTTTTCTAAAGGTTTTGTAGGATTGAAAGCGGATACTACAATGCTCCAATGCATTGATTGATTCGTTGGTTTAGTCTTTGTCACTTGCAATCTGATAGGATGAATAAACATCCAAATCTCCTGCTCCAAGTTTCCAACCATGGCCTATTTTCAAATCTCCTGTTCCTATTGAAAAATAGTACGAATTTTAAATTTGATAAATTATTTTAGAATCTTTGAACAAGAACAATCTTTGGGATGGGAAGGACTGAAACCTCGGCAGGGGGAGATGTACCCCTGCTAAGTGGTTTGTCCTTTTTTTTTCTTTTAATGACAAAATATAAGTTGAGAAAAGTATACATTAATGTTAACTTTTAAAATAAATTAAAATTTTAATTTAATTTAATTTATTTTATTAAAATTTAATTTAAAATTTAAAAATTTATTTAATTAGAATTGACATTTAAATTTAAAAATTAATTATAATAAAATATGTACTAACATCATATAAGTTATGAAATTTATTAATAGAGAAAAGAGATTACAATAATAATTTTTATTTGAAAGGTACTGGAGGTTAAAAGAAGATAAATTTACTAGTTATAACACTAATAATAAGAGATTTTATCATTTCAAAATTAGACAATTAATTAAAAAGAATAATTTATCATTAGATATTGTTGAAAAAATCATCTCGAGATTAAAATATTTCTATTAGGAGCTTCTTAAAATATTTGTAATCTCTCTCTTTTTTTATTTTTTATTTTGGAGGTTGTACAATGAGGAATCTCTAAATTAATTTTTTTTTTGCATATTTTAAAATTAATTTTATTTAAATAATTTTAAAAAGGTACCTTTTTATATTATTCAAAAAATAATAATTTATTTGAATATTAACCTTAAAGACTCTACTTTGTCTATTTGCGCAAAAATGACCCTTGGTTTTCAAAATCTCCTTTAAATCATGATTTTTGAGGATTTTACCATAAAAAATACAATAAAATTAAATTTACCTTTTGAAAAACTACAGTAAATTATTTTTTTAAAATAAAAATAATAGTAGATGAAATATTTGGTACTGAAAATACTAATATAGTAATGGATAAATAAATTTTACAAGAAAAAAAAAAAAAATCTTATGACACTCTTGTGAAAAGAACCCTACCAAATTTTACCTCTTTACTTCTTTTGGCAAGGAGAAGAAAAATATCAATCTCCTTGAAGCATATTCCGGGGTCCGTTTCACCATTCCAGAATTCTTGAGGATTTATAACAACGCTGACTCTGACTCCCGAATTCACTTCCAACATTTTTTGTTTTGTAGTTGACGGCGACCTCTTCGCTGTTTTCTGAAGGTGGCAATGCAAATAAAACCCCTTTCTCTGCCTTTTCCGTAGATAAACCAAGCTGTGGCGACTGCATCTTTTCTTCTTATTCTCCATTTTCTCCACAATATAAATATCTCTTCCATCTCGTTTTTTATTACAACAAAAACCCATTGAAAGAAATCCAGCTGAATAAAGCAGTGTGTATAAGGTAGACGAATTTTACTTTGGTACTTATCAAAAAGAACGAAATTTTCTGAATCTGTGAATACCCATTTGCCTAATTAGCTTGTAATTCTGTGTACAGAGACTTAGTTTGTTTTTGTTTTTGAAAGACTGCAAATTTAATTCAGTTTGTAAAACCCCATTTGCTTAAATTCATGTTTGGTATTCATGTTTGAGATTTTTATGTCCCAGTTGATTATGGAGATCGATAAAGCAATCAGAGAAAGTGATGACCGGAGGCTCAAGACCAAGTACAACAACGCCATCTATGTTATTCGGAGAGCTCTCGCTCTATACTCGTGAGTTCTTGTTTTTACCACTTCTGGGGATTGCTGTATTGCTTGATTCTTTGTAAATTTAACAGCTTCGTGATTCATAGTCATTTATATCAACTGGGTCATTTTGAATTAACCCTTTATTTGGTTACTTATATAACTGAGATCATGAAGGTAATATTGATTGCTCAATCTTGAATATGATTCCCTGTTTGTTCTAATTTTGTGGGAAAAAAAATTGCAGGCCTTATTCGTACATAGCCAACAGTAGTAAGCTTTATAAATAAAAATTTTAAAATGATACTTTCTCAGCTTGCTTTCTTATCTGTATCCCTTTAATGAGCTATTGATCAAAGTTAACATCAATCCATGTATTCATCCCTTGCTAATACAAAGTGATCTTCTTTAAGTATTTCAGAATAACTATGTTAGTTTCAACTTTTCCATCCAAGTGTGGTTATCTTGTTCTGTTGGCATTAAGCATTGTTTCAATATCAATCTTGGAAAACTTTATCCGTTCCCAGTTTCTAAGGAAGAGTATCTGAGAGGGCAATGAATTTGTGGTTTGTTTCATCAACGACAGAAAAAAGATTTGGATGAAAGAGCATTGCTGGTTTGATGCATTACTTGTGAATTTTGTCTGGATTAATACAGCTATTTAAGATCTTTACCTTTACTGGCATTTTTGGGCAGGGTAAAAGAGACATTGATTGCTTTTCTTTTTTGCTTCTTATCTTTTGTGTTGAATTATATTTCCCCATGTGGGGACGGAGGGTAAGGGGATTAGAAAGGTGCTACACTGGTTGATCTCTTATTGGTGGCCTGGCATATTGAACATGGGATTTTCTAGGAGTTTGAGTAGTTAGACACAAGTCCATAGTTTAAAACTTAAAAAGAATACCCCTTTCATAATTTTTCTATTATTCTAGGTATAAAAAACAAATCACTCTTAACTAAAATTCATAATATTATAGGGTTGTTATGTTTTTGCTAGAAAAAATGTATTAAAAGATTGGTAGTTGTTTCACGAATCATAAGAAATTAAAAAGTTTCAAATGGAATTAGAAATCTTAAAGGGTCTTTACCATGCTGTATCCAGGTCTTGTCAAATTTTATGCCTCATCTATGTTACGATAGAAGCAAATGACTAGACATTCTGTGTGCTCTAATTGCATTTCTTCTAATGAACTTTGACCATAGTGTTTCTGTTTTGTTAATTATTTCTTGTTAATATGTAAGTTTGTTGATGGTTGGAAGTTCTGAATTTGTTTTCCTCAACAGAATTGAAGAGCTTGCTTTCAGCTTCAATGGAGGAAAGGATTCAACTGTAAGTTTATAATAGGAGTTTTCCCTCAGTAGACCTTCTGGTTTCTTTTGTGATGACATCTATGACATGATGGATAGGTATTGCTGCACCTTCTTAGGGCTGGCTATTTCTTGCATAGAGGAGAACAAAGTTGTTCTAATGGAAGCCTCATGGATTTTCCAATTCGGACAATATATTTTGAGAGCACTTCTGCATTCCCTGAAATCAACTTATTTACCCATGATACGGCCACTATGTGAGATAAACTGTTTTGACCTTCTTTGCAATTATAATTGATATTTTGTTCATGCTTATCTTATGCTATGGTTTGGAATTGATAGTTTGGTTTTTGCATATAAGCAGCTATGGCTTACAAATGGATATTCTTCGCTCAGATTTCAAATCTGGTTTGGAGGCTTTACTAAAGGCTAAACCAATCAGAGCTATTTTTCTTGGTGTTCGAATCGGTGATCCTACGGCGGTAACTTTTTACTATAAAACAATATCATAGATGCATATATTTCCATCCATTAGGTCATCATGCCAAATACTACTACTTTGTTTTATAAAATTTGAAAAATGTCCCAAATTCCTTTACATATATACGTTGCAGGTGGGCCAAGAGCAATTCTCACCCAGTTCACCTGGATGGCCACCTTTCATGAGAGTGAATCCAATCTTGGATTGGTCATACAGGTTTCTTTCTATACCACGATGTGCCTCACTTGGCTAACTTACTTTTGGCCTCTTTGAAACATTGTCATTTCATTCCTTAGCAGTCAATTAAAACAATAACCAGCGATTATATTTCCTTGCTTTCCCATTCCACCCTCTTTTTCATGTGTGCTAAGTTGATAACATTTGGAGATCAATAAGAAATAAGCACATTGCATAAAGTTGATATTCAGGGGCATCTGCTCCTGGAGAATTTGATTCTCCCTCTTCCACAAGAGACATTATGCTTCAGTTGGTCAATTAAGTAACATCAATAGAATTGAAGTTGAAGAATAATATGTTATTCCATCTTATTTTATAATTGAAAGTTATTCCTTAATTTCATTTTATACTTGTACTCTGTATCAGTAATCCCTTGACAAAAGCGGCAGACGCAGAGCTATTAAAGTTCACTCTTTGTGTCACTGATTTAAAATTTAAATCTCCTGAATCTTTATTTTCATCTTGTACATCCTTTTCTTTTAATGTGGAGAACTAATGAACTTTAAGGATCTCCTACAATGCTAGGGGAGGCCAAGTTAATGCTCCTTTATTCTTTCCATGGATGATTATTGTGATGGTTGCATTCTGTGGAAATGTTATTATGTTCAATATGGTTTTCTTTAGAGCTAATTCTGACCTGTCTGCATTTCTTTGGTAGAGATGTCTGGGCATTCTTGTTAACCAGCAAGGTGCAATACTGCAGTCTTTACAACCAAGGGTAATAGATCTTCTATGTTGCTTGATGTGTTGGACCCATACCTCAAGTTTGTCCTTCAGCTATATTTTTGAGCTAACTGGTTTAGTCCTGAAACAAACATATAGGAAGCATTAACATGATTTCAGCGGAGTTCTTATTTTATTTTCACAGGTATACCTCGATCGGGAGCATACATGATACCATTCCAAATGCATTGCTGTCCATCAGCAACTCCTCTGGCAGCAAAGAAAATTTTAAACCTGCATATTTGCTTTCCGATGGAAGATTGGAAAGAGCAGGAAGAGCGAAAAAGGTTTCTGCTTCAGCCAGCAGGTGTTTTCCGGCTGATGAGAATGGCATGGATGTAGATTCCAATCAAAACAGCATGCTTACTGCCTCAATCATTGCTGTGGGGGACGAGATTTTGTAAGTCTCTTGTTACATAACTGCGTTCCGTTAGAAATGTTCAGAGTTACTTTTATACTTTTATTTTTCTGAGCCCTTTGTTTTGTCATGCGCTGTTTCATTGGGATGGGTCCCTTTCACTGGTGCTTTGATCTGTTTTTCAAGCTGCACTGGACTCTTAGCATATAATATATATGGTTTGGGTACAAACTGCTGTTTTGCCAATATTTTATTATCTTATGCTGTCCAGTTTGTGCTGATACTTAGAATCATTGTAAGGAATATGTTGTTTATGATGTGGAAATTACCTCAGTGCGTAAAATATTTTGATCATGGTGCTTTGAACTAATGCTAAATTTAAAAATTCACTACATTGACTCATAGATGAATCATGAACATAATCTTATCAAGTATTATAAGGTACGTGGATTTTAGAGAATGATGATGGAAGAAACTATGAAGTGTGATGTGTCAAAAATCAACCACATATCTCCATTAGGGTCTCTGGGTGTTAAATACTCTGCCTGCTCTATTTTTTTACTAATACTACTGTTGCTGAAATTTGCAATACTCTGTGTATTTGTTTGATAGTTCAGGTCTGGCACTGTTGAGGATCAGTTGGGACATTTATTGTGCAAAAAGCTACATTCAATCGGTTGGTCAGTACCACAAGCTGCTGTTGTTCGAAATGATGTGAGTTTTCTGTCTTAGTTTTCATCTCTGAAAAATATTATTTTGTCTTTGCCCTGTGTTTTTTACTGCGATAATTTTTGTATGTCAGTTGTATCGGATTCCCCATTTCATAATTTATAAAGACTGTTGATAAACTTCTCCCATTTGAGTTAATTTTTATTTGGAGCAGACAACGATAAAATCTTCATTTGTTGAATTTCATCTTTTTTGACTTCGCCTTTGAACCAGATAGATTCTGTGGCTGAAGAGGTAGAACAGCGTAAATCTACTAATAATATGGTAATCCTTTTTTCTTTCCTTTTTTTTTTTTTTTTGTGTGTGAAAATTTGTGTAGTAACCCTTATAGTTGTTCAAGGAGCTATGTTGCTGCTGATGAGATGAAAATTATAAGGGTTTTCTTGAATCTTTTCCGCTAATGCCATATGTGGTCTATGTTTTTACCTGATCCTTGTAGGTATTTTTGTATGGAGGGGTGGGTCCACTGCATTCAGATGTTACTTTAGCAGGTGTAGCAAAGGCATTTGGGGTTCGCCTGGTGCGTGATTTTTTCAGTTCAGAGTATACAATTTGTTTGTTAATGTAGTTTCATTTAGAGGTTCAAAAAGGTATACTATTTATATTGATGTATCATATGATAGAGGAACTCCTTAAATCTCACTAATTATAGTATCTGGTATACTTGTAGAGATGCTATGTGGTTTACTTGTTGAATTTTACAAGACACAGTCTTTGTGATCTATTTGTTTCACTAAAAATGTTTTAGTCTATTTGCTTTCTTTAATTTAGGCTCCAGATGAAGAGTTTGAAGAATATCTGAGGATGCTTATTGGCTATCAATGCACTGGTGATCGCAATGAGGTAGATGTCAAATATTGATTTCCCCCAAACCCCAAATTATACCTTATTTTCTGCATATGCATTGAATCTAGAGGATGCATGGTAATAAGAGTGCTGCTAATTTATTATCATATAAAATTAAGTCTTATTATCATAGAAGATTTAATGTTTAGTGAAACCTGAAACCTAGGCAGAATTTTGCCATTAAAATGAGAAAAGAAACAAACAATCTAGTGTAGGTACATGAGATTTGGATTCATTGTTTATCTGCATAATGTGGCTTTGTAGCTTGAATTTGATCTCACCCTTGGGTTTTCTTCTTCAGATGGCTCAGCTGCCAGAGGGAATCACTGAACTATTGCATCATGAAAGGCTGCCTGTGCCATTGGTATCTGCCTGAAGGCTCACTTCATTGATTATATTAATTTATGGTCCAATTATTGGCTCCTTACTATACTGATGTGTCAACTATAAAAGTTAGAAATGAAAATGGCATCTATGGCATCCTCTTCATACTTAATATACTAATACATCTGTGTTTCTATAACAACTCATTTAATCTAATTTTGATTGACTTATCTTCTATTTTTATTGTAGATCAAATGTCAAAACGTCATCATTTTCTCAGCAACAAATGTTTCTGAGCTGGAAATGCAATGGGATTGTCTGATCGAATCAAAAGATTCTGGTGGCTGCCTAGTCCCATTGAAACCATACTCAACCAAGCATTTGACAACTCATTCCTCTGATGTACGTCTTACCAATAGTTAGCTTTGTCAAATATGGGGATACTTTAGCTACACTTCCCAACTTACCTGTAATTACTGAAAGATGGTGTCTGAAGTCATCTTCTCCCTCATTTTTCATGCTGATTAACTATTTCCTATGTAGGTAGAAGCTGCTCAACCTCTATCGAAGCTTTGCCTTGAATTCCCAGATCTTTATATCGGTAAGGGTCTTTCAAGTTATTTGGGTTGCAGCCCTGAGAATATGATATCTTCTTCTTCTATCTTGTTCTAAATATGATCTTCTGTGCAACATCAAGGGTGTTACCGCAAGTCTAGACAAGAGCCTCTCGTAGTTAGTATCAAAGGCAAGGTATGTGGGAAGCATTGAAAGAGGATGCCAAGCTTTTCTCGTTAAACATTAAAGTGTCAACTTTAGGCATTTTGTTGCTTAGTATTAATTGCAGAAAACTGGTTTCAGGATCCAGCAAGAGTTCAGTCTGCTGCAGAAGCCTTGCGCAAGAAGTTCAATCCCGGGGCATTTTCTGAGATCAACTAGATAAGATATAGATTAGTTTTTCTCTCAGATTTCACCTATGAAGCTTTGAAAACCAAGTAACCTCCTGGATTGCTCTACTGGTTTACCATAGTCCAAATTTTGCAACAGAAGCATGATTGGAATTGTACCTAAATGGGAAGAAAGAAAGAAAAGTTCCCAAAAGAATATCAATGGAAAACATTACAAGAAGAAGATTTTAGTTCATCTGTCATGATGAACTGACGGTGAATGGTGGAAAAGTTTTTAAAGTTCTAAACTTTTTAGTTTTTATTGTTAATGGAAGTAGAGCTTTACTTAGGCACAAAATTTTTTTTTTTAAAAAAAAAAACATACAAATAGAGCTTTACTGAACATTCTGTTATTGCTAAATAATGTTACTTAGATAATTTGTTACAAATCTATTTTCAAAATTATATTCTTATGTAAGTGTAACTTTAGAAGATTAAAGGATAAAATACATTTCCAACATAAAGAATTCTTAATTATGTTGGGAATGCTAGAACGTGCGTGTCAATGAATTTCATCATTCCAATCACATCGTTTCTGTGGTTATTTTCCCTTCTCAATTTATTGCTCATATTCATCATAAAAAATAATAATAAATAAATAAATAAATAAATTTTGAGTCATTAATTATGTGTTAGGAATTTAAAGTAGAATGTAATATAATGTGTCATTATATAAATAAAGCAATATTAATTTGCTCGTAGCCTCAAATAAAAGAAGTTAATATATGTGATAAAAGTGTAAAAATATAGGAAAAAGTATAAAGAAAGATATTAATTTTGTCTTTTTTTAATTTAAAAATGTGAAGAAGTTTATCAATTTAAAAATAAAATAATAAGCGTAAATTTTTAATTTTTTATATAAAAATTTAATTTATATTTTTATTTACAAATTAATTAAATAATAATATTGACATGTAACAAATA